CTTTTTTTAAAAAAAGAGAAAGGTGATTATCTGTAGGAAGCAACATGCATATGTAATAGAGCTCATTGGGGCATGCTAAAAAGGGGACACGAATAATTTTATCCTCTCTGACTCTATTCCCCTTAAAATGTAAACAGGACCATGGCTTATGGAGGGGGTTATATTTTCAGGTATGTTGATCTCAAAAGGCGTTCCAATAAAGCTTGGAATCCGGAAAAAAAAAACCCCACACACATTCCAATAAAAGATATTTTGAATCTTGCCTTTCGGCCGCTGGAACGGGGCCCTGCCAGTTGTGAGAGCGAACGGAAGTTGCCGAGCTAGAGGGAGGGCGGCCAAACACAGACCCAGAGAAGCCCCCCCACCTGCCAGAGAAGCCCCCCCACCTGCCCCCAGGATTCCCTCTGATGGTCTGGTCAGGCTTCCTCCGCTCCCTCCATGTAGGGTCAGCCAATAAACTAGAGGGTGGTTGAGGGTGGCACTTTGCATACAATCGCAACACAGCACACCTTGCACACTTGCACGAAGGTCTGCTGGAAAGAAAGAAAGACAACATGCCCAGAATTTATTTCTCTTCCGTTTCTTATCACCTGGCCCAGGAGCAGGGCCTGGCTGGCCTCACCTGAGCCCTGAAAGCTTGGAGTGGGGATACCCTGGTCAGCCAGCATCCAGGAAGTAGCCGGGGGTGGGTGGAGGTGGGGGGGGGGATTGCTTGTTGCAAAGAGCCAATCTTGGGCTTCTTGTGAGCGTTGTAGGAAATTTGGGGCGCTGCATTGCAAGGAAAGGAAGCTGGACGCTAGGTAGGAGGAAGGTCGCCCGATGCTCTCCCGATGAGAATAATGGGGCAGTAGCAGCATTTCCTCCATGGAAACCCCGCCCCCACCCCCCCAATGGCTGTCAGGATTTTTGGGGGGGACAGTGTGTGTGTGTGTGTGTGTGTGTGTGTGTGTGTGTGTGTGTTTTAACTCCTGACAACTGCTTGGGCAAAGTCCTTGCAATGTTTGAGGCAAGATTAAGAGTGCATGCATTAGAGGGAGTTTTGGGGTAAAAACAATAGTTTTATTGCTGTCAGGGAAATTATGAAAATAAGTGGGGTCGTAGGATAAATTGTTCTTGTTAACAAGACGCAAAGAAAATGCACCTGTTGTTGGCCCAGGGTGTCAAAAAACAGTGAGAAGGTTCTTTTCATTTCATTCCCATGAACTAAAATGTAAATGGACACAATATAAATGTGACAATTATTTGTATTTCACCATTTCCTTTCCTGTCACATGACAAATAAAAATTTAGTAACCTCTTTTGGGTCTGCTGAAGTCCCGTTTTCCAACTTGAGGGAGATCCCATTTGCCTCTGGGATGATTGTCTGGTCCTCTGCATTTGGGAAATGATTCTTAGAAGAAAGTTCACTAAAGATTTAAGGACAAGGGCTCAGGCATCAAGGCTTCCCAGACTCCACCCAGAGGGCTCTTCCCCAGAAGGAGCTTTGGGCCAGGCATGCCAACCTGCTGAATGGGAAATCCTTGAGTAAGTGTGATGTGCAAGATTGAAGCTGCCACTTCTGGTTTGCAAAGCCAGAATGGAAAACTGTCTGTTTGCTGCTACACCATTATGGTGGCATGATGGCTTGGTTGGGGTTGAAACAGAAAGACAGCACTCAACTGATGTCCTGCAAGAGTAGTTCAGGTCCCCCAGGAAGGAAGGGCACCAAGTTTAAGACCATATCACAAATTTTCTGGGGGTTAAGGATGAAATAGACCTGCTTCATTTAATGGCACCGACTATCCCCATTGTGGCTTTTGTCAGTTTGCTGCTGAATTTTGGTGGCATGTTCTTGAGATCTTTCGGGAAGTGGGGGCATAAACAGGCTCACCTGAGCTTAATCACCCACAGTGTTTGATGCATTCATGCCACTTATATAGGGATCTTCTCTACTGCCTTTTAATTTCAAGGCTGTTATTATGATTTTGCATGACTTTAGTCCTTCTGCCTATATGTAGCCTTCCCAAAACCTCTTGACCAGTGGCCAGGGAACCTGGAGCAAGATTGGTCTACTTAAATGTACTTTTGGGGTTTTCCCCTAAATCATTTCAAATGTTTTTGGTGTGGTACTTATCCAGCATATAAAATCATTCTTCCTCGGGTCCATACTCCCTGGATCATAAATTGAATAAATATGCTAGAATAGAAACAGGAAATTCAGGAAATTCTGTTAGTTTCAAGTTTTCTAAAAAAAACCCAAACCTATATTGTGAGGGAAGGCAGTGTCTTTTGCATTCAGCTGGCAAAAAAAGTGAACAAAATGGCACCAGGACTGTGGCCTATCCAGTCTAAGACAACAGTTCCCATCTGTGAACATGGGGAGAATAGAATCCCATGGGCCATAGCAATTGTGGTTCAGAGAATCCCACATTGGAGATGTCCGATTTAACTGAGTGTAACAATGTGGAAGCCTACTTGGAATTAAAAATCCTGGTTGCATTCAGTTGAAATTTGTTCATGATTGAAGTCTGTGCCTTCCTTTGCATCTCCTGTGATGCTTCTGGTTGTTTTGTCAACCGTATCATATTCCATTTCATGCAGTGCCTTGAAATCTGATAGGATGGAAACTGATGTATAAAGTACATTTTGAATGAAATACAATAAAGCCACTCACGGTAGTGCAAAATGCCAGATATCTAGATAGATTGTCAGGATGAGTGAAGGCAATAGACAGACTTTCCTCCATGGGTCTTTTGGCGGGGGGGGGGGGATTTGGGAGGAAAGCACAGTCCAGCTTTGGGATGGCTGGAACAGATTTATTCACAATAAATGAAAAGAAAGGAGGAGGCCAACCCATCCGTGAAAAGGAGCAAGAGTGTGTCCTCCTGGCCAGCTCAGAAAGCAGGGAAACCTGGCTGGGTTGCAGGCATCTGGAAAGTCCTTCCGAAGCCCAGGCTTAGCTGGCTCCCTGCCCTGGGGTGGAAAGTCGGTGAAGGGAGGGATTGGCTGGTGGGATTCCCCTCTCAGCCAGCTGAGGACACCAGAAGGAACTCCTTCACCAGGGCTTGTGTGGCATGAATGCATGGACCACCCCAAGCTGGCACACCTGTGGGCAGATGCCTCCGGGCCTCGACGTTCCCTGCATGTCTAGGAGGGCTCCTCTCTCTGTGTCAGACACTCTTCCTCTTTATGCTGGAGGAGGGGCTCCCCGTAACCCCCCTTCCCCCCCAGAAGCCTGTAATGGCTGTAATGACCCAGCTCTTACATCAGCCACAGGAAAGACCCCCTTCTCTCTGGCTGAAAGGACTCCCCCTCCTCAATAAAGCAGCAGTAGAGTCACCTAGGTTCCCTTCTCAGGTGAGCTGTTCATAAGGCAACATGGCCTCAATGGGAGGGGGGGGGTTAATTGCTCTAGGCCTCCCAGATCAGGAATGCAATTGGAGACATCCAGGACAAACAGCTGTTCACATCCAGATGTTGAGATTCCCCTCTGAGGCTGAATTCTCTGTCAAATGTTTTTTTCTGGAAGGAAAAAGCTTTCCTGCCACCTCCCCACTCTGCTGCCACCTGCCTCTTGCTAACTTAAACCCATTATTCCGTAACTGGTGCTCCACAAAATTTGCTTGGTGGAGCTTTTTCATGCTTTGGAAGGGTGCCCTTCCAGTACCTTTTGGTCACCCTACTACAAAAAAGATGTTGAGACTAAGATGATCCAGGGCCTGGAGATTAAAACATACAAAGAACGGCGGCAGGATTTGGGCATGGCTAGTTTAGAGGAAAAAGAAGAATTGGGATGACATGATAGCAGTCTTCCAGTATTTGAAGGGCTGCCACAAAGAGGAGGTGGGGTCCAATTATTCTCCAAGGCATCAGAGGGCAGGACGAGAAACAACGGATGGAAACTAACCCAGGAGAGAAGCAACCTGGAATTAGGGAGAAACCTCTTCACAGGGAGGACAATTAGCCAGTGGAACAGAAGTGGCCTCCAGAAATCGTGGGGGCTCCCTCACTGAAGGTTTTTAAGAGGAGACTGGACAGTCACTTGTCCGAGAGGGTATAGGTTCTCCGGCTTGAGCAAGGGGCTGGACTAGAAGACCTCCAAGGTCCCTTCCAACTATTCTATTCTGTTCTATTCATTATTCCATCCCATTTCATTCCATATTTTCCACTCTATTCCGTTCTTCTATTCTACTCTACACTACCCTACTAGAGTGATGTCTGATCAATGCAAGTAATCTCTGACTTATAGCTGGTTGCTTAACAACCATTCAAAGTTATGAGGGCCACAGAGCAGGTGCTTATAACCCCCCAGCCCTCGTAAATGATCGTGCCTCGAAGCCCCCTGCAGTCATGTGATAGCATGTCCTTCAGGTGAGCCTTATCCCCGCTTGCAGCATTTCGTGGGCAATCCGTGGTCACTTCTTGTCGTTAGGTTTTGGTTTTTTTTTTGCTGATTTCTGGCATTCAAACGGATGGTTCATGTAACGACTGCTGCAAACAAAGTCATAAGAGTACTTCTAGTCATGTAGGTGCTTCGACTTATGACCAGATTTTTGGTTGTAATGGAACGATTACTGGTAGTTTCCGTGATTTGAAATTCCTTGTCTTTTTTTGCTGCCATGATGCTCTGCTTAATTAGGGAGAAAAAATCCTTGACTCACCTGTGTATTTGATTTTTTTTCACTACTAAACGAAGACTTCTTCATTGGTTTCTATTTAAAGTTCATTCAATCTTTCATTTTTGCCCCCCTCTGTAATTTCCAAGGTTCTTTGGAATAGTTAACATCTACCAGGAAATATGGCCAAGTTCTACTTTCGTGAAGGGATCTAAGGGAGAGCCTGGATTGCACCCCAGTTTTTAATAGTTACACTGAGCAAGTTGTCATATTCTTTGTTATGCATGTTCTTTTATGCTGCCGTGTTATTTTTCTGTATACGATGCTGGAGAATATTTGGTCCCCAGTAGAAACTGTAGATACATCAACCTGATTGGGGAAAAAAAATGCGTTTTTCTGTTTCAGATTGACCCGAAGGTCGCCTTCCCTCGCAGAGCACAGCCTAAGGTGGGTGCAATTTATTTATGTAATTGTTAAAGGTATTTTTATTTTAAAGAAAAGCTAGCATGTTGGTCTTCGGAACAAAAGTAAAACAAAACAGTGGCAAAAAGCAAGCTAAAAAGAAAACATAAAACAGCCCCAAAGTGTAAGAGGTAAAACCTACAAGAGTTTCTAGGCACCAGAAATTAAAATGACAAAATGTTCACAGGAGGGTGGCTCTGCATTACAGCTCTCCACATGAACTGAAGCATTTGGCCATCAGGCTCAGTCGTGATCTAGTAACTTGTATCTTTGTTTTGATCTTTGTTCCTCCGTCGATTTTTGAGTCCCCAATGGATGGTTACACCCCAGAAAGCTTTGCAAGCCTCAGCTATTGGGTGTGTGCGTTTTGTGTAAAACGTCACCTTGAGTTATTTACAGAGTCATAAAGGAGGGATCTAATAAACTCTAATAAATGAAACCAAAACTTAATAAACAGTGTTTATTAAGCACGGACTCCTTGTGTCCCATGAAAAGCCACCCTGTTCACATGGGGTGCTTTAAGGACCGACAGAGTTAAAGCTGAGCTAGTAGATCCCCAGCTCTCTCCGGGACAGAGACGGTGAGGAAACTTCAATAGTGTAAATCTGATTGGGTTTGGACCACGGGAATGTCAAGGAGCTACGCCAGCCTATGTTAAGCTGTGGTGATGCTGCCTGACAATTATAGAAATAGCACTAGCACTCAGACTTATATGCCACTTCACAGTGCTTTATAGCCCTCTCTAAGCGGTTTACAGAGTCAGCCTCTTGCCCCCAACAGTCTGGATCCTCATTTTACCAGCCTCAGAAGGATGGAAGGCTGAGTCTACCTTGAGCTGGTCAGGATCAAACTGTTGGAAGAAAGGAAGGAAGGAAGGAAGGAAGGAAGGAAGGAAGGAAGGAAGGAAG